ACCATATGCGGTGGAGTTTACCTCATCTATGCTTTCGGTGACAATACCGCATCAGGTGCCATTCTCCATTCAGCTGCGCTACTGATGGGAAGGTGGATCCCCCCGCTCCTCTTCACTGTTTCTGCAGCTGAGGAAAGGCGGATGTGCTGGGAGGGGATTGAGTTGGGTAACAACTAGGATTTCCCAGTCACGACGTTGTTTCTGACGTGGAGTGAATTGTAGAACCACTCCTAAGGTAATGATATTGAGAATGTTTTCTGTCCCAAAGGTAGATGAGTCTGTAGCTTTGTCACTTGGTGCTTTCGGAGATTTAAGACCAGTTTCTGAGCCCTTGGGTTTCGTCGAAGTGACAACTAAGGGAGGGGGGATCCGTGGAGAAATCTCGGTAGGCTGGATCGATGGCTCATGATGTGGTTTCACTGTAACTGGGCTGGTATTTGCTTCCAGTTGGGTGTTCTTGATTTGCTTTTCTTTGCGTTGTTTCTTTCTCTTCCGGCGGTGAGTCGATTTAGGGTCGCCACGTACCCCATAAGCGTCTTCACCATATCTATACACCCATTCCATCCACTGAGAGATGTGTATTAAAGACTCCCGTGACAATGCCCCGATTCCAGAAAATATGACACCGTCTTGCGGACCAGGCGACATCATACAGCCAGTCCACTCTTGTTTATTAGACTTCACTGGCTCCTTTTTGGAAGGTATCTGCTCTCTTGAGGGATTCTCGGCATCACCAAATCTTGAGACTACCATATCAACCAGACCTTCTGTCCTTGAGATGAACCCTTCTAGAACCTCTCGTTCACCACTTCCCCATTCCTCTTCACCCACTCCTATTCCAAGCTCTCCGCCTCCAGCTAGCTTGGTGGCAGAAAAGAGATCTATTGCTGGGTTACCATTGAGCAAAATATCCCAACTCCACACAAACCGTGTCCAATATCGGTCAAGATAGATGCAGAAAGTCTTCCTTGATAGGGTTTTGTAAAGACTTTCCAAAGAACTGCCATGGTGTAGCAGGAATATGGAATACGCCTTTGAGAGTTGTTGGCTAAGGATATATGGAGGTGATAGTTCTCTCGAAGAGTATTCAACCTGGATATCATTTGAGGTCTCCTCTGTGGAACTTGTTGACCCTTTTTGAACATGTATTATTCTTGTCAAGTCGATACTCTATTAGATGCGTTAGGAATATTGACCAAATCGAGGCTTGTGTTGAAAGATATTCTTACCGCTAGAATCCACCAACTGGGCTCCAACTCCTTCAAAACAATTCGAGAATTTTCAGTCTCTATTGAGTCGACGGGCTCTACGCTTGAGAAGTTTCTGCATGTTATTTGGTTAACGAGCCTGGGCTGCCTTTGATACTCATGATCTCTCGTTACGCACTTGGCGAAGCTCACCATGCCTTGCGCAAGCCCTACATGGCGTAGTCTTTTATTCTCTTCCTCAGAGGAGTTTGCCCTCGCCGTATCTCTTCCTGGCACATCTCCTGGTGGTTTTGTTTGACTTGGGGTTGAGTAATAGAACACAATCTGGTCCTGAAGGGTCTTATCCGTGGTCCCAAGTGACGGGTTGTATATGGTCAAGAACGAGAGCTGCGCTGGTATTACAGATGGCGGTTCAAGCGGAGGCATCTCACATGGTGGTATCACTCTGTTCCTGGTCTACCTGCCCTCGTTGCACTCGAAATAAGAAACCTCTCTCATATATTTGCAGCTTGCTCGTCCTCTCCATCAAGTGCTCTGATGTCATTTAACCACTATCACGTGATCTCTTCGCTGCCCAGCTAACTCACTATTTAGCTATCAAGCTTCTAAGACGCAGCGTTGACCCATCAATCATCCGTTCATTCTCAGGCACCGTCATTAAGGAGATGCTATACTCCGTGAGGCCTAGGGGCCTCGTTCTACACACATCAAGGTTCAATTACTTTTTTTCATGCCGGTATTATTCCTCGGCGAAGCCCTGCGATCCTCTTCGAATACTTTTCTGCGGCTCCGATGAGTTTAGCATAGCATCTTTGAACGCGCTCTACAATGAACGTGTAGAAAGTCCAGACACAATTGCATCTATTGATGTTGTATGCCGACCCGGCAAGCCTGTTGGCCGTGCTATGAAAACAATTCGCGAGGGTATGCTACCATGTTTATAGAGATTGCATATCTAAATACTAATATTGAGTCGTGGTACCTTATAGTGCCTATCAAAGCCGCCGCAAACGAACTTTCCCTCCCAATACACGAGTTAGATACATTTACCAGGTGGACGGTATGATCCTTCGGGCTCTTCTATGGCTGTCCTGCTCTAATCTGCGACCACAGCCACCAAAACCACAGGGTGAACCTATCAACCTAATAATAGCCGTCTCGTTTGGACTCTTTATTCCTCCTAGGATATTGAAGGGAGCTAAATATGGCGGGCTCAATGTTCATCCTTCGCTCTTACCAGAGTAAGTGCATTTCCCTATCTCTGTAGGCTCCTAACTAATCGATGTATTAGTTTTAGAGGAGCCGCTCCTCTTCACCACACTTTACTGGCGGGGGACAAAACCACTGGGGTCACTTTGCAGACACTTGACTCCGCTAAATTTGATCATGGTTTAATCCTAGATCAGACACCTGCGCCAGGATTCCCAATACCCGACCCTGAATCTTGCGATCTCCCGCGGCTGCTTAAGTTAGCGTCAACCATGGGAGCAGAAATGCTTATAAAGGGAATTAGGAATCGTCTATTTGTTCCTCCGTTAAACCCATTAATCAGGCAAACGACTTTGGAAGGAAGAGAACTAAGGCCTGCTAGTAAGATCAAACCTGAGAACCGCCATGTTGCTTGGAACTCCTGGAATTGGGATGCAATTCGACGTCGCCAGATTGTGCTGGGTGCTCTATGGAGTACCGCCGCGACCTCGCCTACAATACCGGGAGAAGAACATTTTGTGCGGCGAAAAAGGATCATTTTCGGGAACATGAAGTTAGTTGATAGTACACGGCTAACTGATGACATACCTTTCACTAAACCTGGGGTTCCGTTCACCTTCAAAGATCCGACAAATAAGAGGGATGAAGGGCGGCTATTTGTGTTTACAAGTGATGGTAAACTTCTTGAAATAGAAGAAATGAAAGTTGAAGGTGACAGGATGGCTCCTGCATACCGAGCTGCATTAAAGGCTAAACTTGTTGACCCGGTAGCAGCAAGGAGTTCAATGCACAGCGCATTCCACGGCCCTCTTCTATAAAGGGTATTGCTGGCTCAAGCCTTTTCCGCACTTGGCATCGATATAGCCGCATCCACCAGACTTTATCTTATATGGAACCCAGAATCTATATCCAAGACTATTAGGCTTTTCCTTTAAGGTTGGAAGTACTTCTAGAAACTTACCAAGTTGGATTTCTTGTCCGGTCATGGAATAGTTCTTAGCAATGGAGACGAAAACATCCGCGCAATCCTCAATATCAGGCTAAACGATTGGCTATTTAGCTCCAGTATCTTGCGAGGGTAGGTTAGGGCCTTACCACTCTCTTCAACGCCGACTTCTCAGCATAGCCCTTCTGTACTTCAGGAGGGAATCTTTGCCCCTGCTCAGATCCGTCAGCGCTCCGTGGTCTAGGCAAATTAAGTGTTTGGACTCACCCATTCCGTGAGCAGTAGACCCGGAAGCACTGCGTTTGTACGGATTTTCGAACTCTGGGACGAAGCCAGACACTTCATTAGGTGGATACCTGCATACTTGTTAGTAAATACGGCACATAAACGGTTCATATATACATACTTGCGGCCTTACTAACAGAGTAAGCCATACTACTGCCGCCAGGGGTGGCTCCCTAGTTATGAGTTAGCCATGTTTGGGGATGGCTGGGCCGATCCTACTTACAGCAACTGAGGACGTGATAATAAATGCCCCTCCTTCTGGATTCGCCTTGAAAGTTGGTTCTGCTTCACGGAAGAGATGCAAGTTTGCTTTCACGTTGGTGTTCCAGCACTGATTTTTCACATATATCAGCAACTCATGTACTCGATCTTTTCACGCGTCACGGATTTATACCTTGTCCCATTCATCGTCTGTTAGGGCGTTCAAGTCGCCAAACCGAGAAATTTTAGTCCATCCCTACGGACTTGGATATCAGAAAAGCGAATTTTACTACAATGGATAACAGTTCGTTGTCTCACAGCGTTAGAGATGATAACGTCGATTCCTCCCAGGAGCTCAATGGTTTTCTTAACTAAATTTTCACAATCCGCCCGGAGGGCCACATCCTGCGTATTTATTAATTAATGACTCTTCTCTGCCTAGTGGAATATATGCAGAAATTGGTATATTTTAATCATAGTTCACTTACTCCTTGAATGACGATGGCTTTAACCTTGTGGTCCACCTCTATCTTCGCAGCAAGCTCCTTTGCTTGTACCTCACTTGAATAGTAGTTGATAGCCACGTTTGCGCCCTCGGCAGCAAACTTCTCTGCAACCATGGCTCCCAGGCCGCTGCAGTAGCGAGGTCAACTCTGTGTTATGTATGTACGTGGGGTTCGGAATGCGAGAAAGGACTGCTCACCGAGAGCCACCAGTGACGAGCACATTGCGCCCCTTAAGACTGTACGGCATGTTGACGGATTCCACCGTGTAAGGACTCAGTTACCTGACTATTGAGATTTTTAATATATATACATATATGAGTCAATGTGATAGAAGAGCCGTGGGGGGAAGGGGACGGGCAGCCTGGGTTTTGATAATGACTGCCAGCCGAGGCTCTGCGTGGCCCTGGTGTTTGAATACGAGCTACGGAGTACATAACAAGGGAAGAAATCAACTCGAATGGCGTGGATGTTGCATGGATGCCTGATGTTGGTTGATGATTGATGTGTCAGAGTACATGAAGATTTGGAATTGATATATATAGCGCAGAACTCAGCAGCAGCACGCAGCCTACCTAACAGGACGGTGAAGTACAGGGAACAGGAACTCAACAGAGGACGATAGGAAATGTCTTTTATTTCGTTAAGTGCTGGTTTTGTCCACTTTCCTCATTTCAACATGAAAATAAAGAAAATACTAATCAGGCTTGGATCGAAAAAATGGCCTTGTATTTTAGAGAAATCCTCCATAACTTCATAACCTAGCATCATGCTCCATCGACTTCGTACATGTCCATTTCATTTAAGTAAGCTTCTGCTTGATGAAGAAGCTTCGTAGATGAGAGAATTGCCAGACACACGTTACACCGAGGACGGCGGTTTGAATCAAAGCCCATCGAACGACACGAGAGTTAGTAGCTTCAGACTGGTCTCGGAATTGGGCTTCTCGTTCCTATGGACATCGAAGAAGATACATGTCAGTCAAGATGTTCTCTGGCTTTCTTACTTTTGTCTTGTTCGTATGTACTTACACGCTGGAAGACCTGTTCACGACGGATGTCCTGGAGTCTTCCGTTCAAGTTCCTGACTCTCTCAACCAAATCATCAAGCTTGCTCTTGTCTTCAGACTCTAAGTGGTTGGACTCGCCGATAGCCATGTCGAGGGTTAACTTCACTGGGCCAGAAGCTCCAGAAAGCCATCCGCTATTCGCATGTGAGTCTGCAGTGAAGCATAGCTTGTGCTGTCCCGCATCGGCGGTGGAAAAGGTGTACCGTCCCTTATCAGCTCCCTTCTGAGACACAACCCGGTGGTCGTTATCAAAGACTTCATCGACAGTGATAGTGATGGTTATACTGCTGTCAGGGGCATAGGCGTTGAGATGAGGGTTGTAGACTTCGGATTGGTAATTTCCTTTCCTCGAGTGTTAGAAACCACTGTACTCAAAATCGCAAAAGGCTCCAACTAACCGACTACCAAGGTGTCCTTGGGCAATTCCTCGTAGAAGCACTTGGGCTGTCGTCCATGGACATAGAAGTATAGGGAGTGAACAGGAGCAGAGAGCGTCAGGATAGTGACTATGGAGAAGAATGTCGACAGCCACGACGGCTGCGACCTTGAGAAAGCCATCCTGTCCGGATATTCCTTAACAAGAGATATGATCGAATGCAACACTGCAGCCAGCCTATCCTGCTCTCAACTCTCTGTCTGAATGCGAAGCGCTGCGGGTAGATTTGACGGTGTTTTTGCGTCTCGAGGATGAAGACACGCTTACCTGGCCCTGAGCCGACCAATCAGCGTGCGCCCTCGCGACCAGCTAAAAAAAAAAAAAAAAAAAAAAAAAAAACCATTTTCGCCGCGCCTACCAGCAAGTCAAGACAAACCAACAACGAACTGAACTGACTCCAACAAAACTCGCGCCACAGACGCCTTACGACGTTATATCCAACTGTTTTCCTGACTAGAAAGGGAAAGAGAGAGAGAGAGAGAATTCTGTACCGGTGTTTCTGGAATAAGACGAGGTGGAAAGCAGCAACCAGGGAGTCAGCCATGGCGGCCGCAGATGTTCGTGATATGCTGGATTTGCCTGCGGACGGGCAACCCAGGCCAGCAAAGAAGCAGAAAGTCGTCGAAAAGCGACCTGGTAAGATTTTATGGACCACTATATTAGTCTGATATGCAGATCTAATGGTTGTTTAAATAGAAGGAATTACAAGAGAGCTCTATGCTTTGCTCGGGGAACGCGCACCTCCTATTGCATTGAACGAGAACAAATATAAAGGACGGCGGAAATGGATGAGCAAGCTCAAAGTGAGGCCTTGGTAGGTGAATTGTCGATGCGCCCTATTGAGCCCGTTTTGCCACGACTAATCATAGTTTCTCCAGGGCTATTACTCCGTTCAAGAATGCCGCTCGAAACGATGACCTTGTTCTTAAACACTGGCAGAGGAAACCGCTAGCCAAAAATCCACCACCAAACGCTGAAACTGGACAAGGAAGCACCACAGATAAAGCAGGAGAAGGCGCTTCTTCTGTAGAAACTGAAGAAACATCTGCCTTTGCGAAGTATAATATCAAGGCTCAACATCCCCGGAGATATACGACAGAGGAATATGACAAACTTTTGAAAAGCGATATCTGGAGTCGCGAGGAAACAGATTATCTCATGGACCTCGTCGAAGAGTTTGATCTCAGATGGATAGTAATCGCAGACCGATATGACTACTCCCCGAATACAGACACGGCAGCAGATGGAAGCTCCTCCACGGCTCTAGTTGCGCCAACAAAACGTCGAACAATGGAAGAGATGAAGTCACGGTATTATAACGTTGCAGCTCACATGCTGGCAATTGAACACCCCCTTTCCGAAATGTCAGAAGCGGAGTTTGACATACACGAAAAGATGATGAAATTCAACCCCGAACGAGAGAGGACAAGAAAGGAGCTGGCCAATACTCAGTTAAATAGGTCGAAGGAAGAGGTCACCGAAGAGGCTCTACTGCTGGAGGAATTAAAGAGGATCGTCGCGAACGAAAACCAGTTTATAGACGAGCGGAAGGAGCTATATGCTCGGCTGGAGGCTCCAATCAGCAACGGCAATACCGCTATGTACCAAACCAGCCAGGGCCTATCACAACTGTTACAATCTCTTCTACAAGCGGATAGGAACAAAAAGCGACGCCCACTTCTCGGTCCGGATACTGGTGTGTCAAGTCCGGTAGGAAACGCTTCTTCAGGCGGACCGTCAGCTAGAGAAAGTAGACCGGAAACCCCTGCTCCAACGCCGGCTGCTCCGACAAACAACAAGAAGGGATCCGCGGCCAACGCGGCGGCCCAACCTACAATCCGAACTCTCACGCCGAGTGAAGAAGTGAAGTATGGTGTATCACACCACGACCGCTTAACTTCCGGTGTACAATTCCGAAACGACAAAGCCCAGAAACTCACGCAGGCCAAGTCTAATATCCAATCTCAGAAACTTGCTGCTGCGCTGACAGAGCTAGATATACCCCCTCGTCTCTTTATGCCAACAGAGAAGGTATGCAAGGAGTTTGAGAAACTTATTCACCAAGTTAACCTGTTACTTGACACGCGCAAGTTCGCTGAGAAAGTGGAGGGAGAAATCCGAGTCCTGGAGGCCAGTAAGGCGGAAAGAGAGAGGAAGGAGAACGAGAAAGCTGGTGCCTCTGTGGAGGGTAGCGAAGGTGCCGAGGGCGCCACGGCTACGGCGAATACTTCGGATCCAGATGGGATTTCAGGCACCAAAGAAGAAACCGAAGCTGAAGCTAAAAGTGCATCTCCTGGGCCCGGGAAAGCTGCCTCTGTTAAGGCAGATGCTGCGGTTGGCTCACCTGCTAAGGGACCTGGGGTTACACACAAACGAAGTGCTAGTGTTCTCAGCGTGGTTAGTGATAAAAGTACTAAGAAGCAGAAGCGATAAATATATAACTAGACACGTTTGGGATATTAATGGCTTTGCTCTGTATTATATATTACCCTATCCCCTTTTTTACAATATGTAACCAGCTCAAACAGTCAATGCCCTCTTTTCTCCCAGAGCAGAGGCGAATGCAAGGGCCATGACCGGTTCTATTATGAGATGCGGAGATATTTATACAGTTAACGAAACTTGACGGGAAGAATATCAAGCGAGAAGAACAACTATCCCCCCTGCCAGCATGGGTATCCAGAAAAAGACAATGAAAAACACGAATTTAGAAATGTCAGAGAATGAACGACAGGGAACAAATAGAGTGTGAGCTTTCAACTGTTTTGGAGGCAATCATCGTATAGCCTGGACCATACCTCAGCAGATATTGGCTCAGGCTGGATATGCTCACTGTCATCTTCGCTGTCTGAGATGTCGTCATATGCCATTGGGCAAATCTCGGTACTCTCCTTGATTGGGTTCGACGGTTCTCGAAGTGCCTGTACAAGCTTGATAGTGAGAGGGTTGCGATTATATACGCTACTTCCAATATCACGACGGGCTGGATCGAAACCAAGAGGCATCTCTAGGTCCACTTCGGAGGCTAGGGGTGGGAACGGCTCTAATCCATGAGATTGGTTGGAGCGGCTAGACGCTGCAGTGCAACTACTGGCATCTCTCTTGTGTCTGCGGACTTTCTTTGCCAGACATGCAATAGCACTCGTTACTCTACTTGAGTGATCACTGCGATCGATATCGCTTTGATGAAATGGGGACACTCGGCGGATAGTATGGCTACCCTCCCTAGTTGCTGTACGTGGGCGCCGATGAGTATCTTGACTGTCCGATTGACGTGAGATACGTTTGTAGTCCCGAATTGGCAGCCTGTATTCCGATAGAGCCCCATTTTTATAATCCTTATGAGATTGTAACCGAATGGCGGAGTTATATTTCTCGTCAGCGGCGCCTTCGGAGCAGGAGAGTCGGGGGTACCGTTCACCCAGGGCAAAATTGTAGCCATACCCCAATCTTTTCCCGCCAGACAGCCAGCCATCACTCAGTCGCCGGCTCACAAGTTCCGTCTCCGGATAGTCATCCTTTGGAGGCTCAGTTTCGTCAAATTTCAGGGTGAACACATCATCTAGGTCTTCAATAAAGCGGCTCCTTCTGACAAAGCTACAACTGTCCCTTTGGGTAGCAATTGAAGGCTCTCGGCGGGTATTCGCTGGTACCCGCTGTTTCGGCACGTTCTCTGGTGAGACTCTGTTTGAGGTTAAGCTCTTTTTTACTTGGTGCACCGGAGACTCGATGGCGGAAAACTCCTCAAGTTTTCGCTCATATTCTGGGGTTTCCGTGGCCGGACTCGAATACACTGAGGTTGCAATATTTATTCTGACCTGCGTGTCATCGGCCTGGGAGCTGTTGGACTGGCAAACATCTGGTGAAGTGCTCTTATTTCGCGCTGTAACATTGTTCCGAACGCTTTCGGGAGAGTCTGCTAGAGACAGGGGACTAATTTCCTTGTCGGGGTTATCTGATTCCCCAAGATCGCTTGGGGTCAACGTTGGTGTTTTCCTGTAATCATCTTCTATGATTGAACAAGAGGCCCTTGTTATGTGGGTCTTTAGAGGCGTCATTGGTTCTCTGTCGGGGTCAGGGCTAACAAGGTAGATGGATGTACTTTTTCTTGCTGAATCTGAATGTTCAGCAGAGGATTGTCGTCCGACACTGTCTTCACCAGAGCGATATGCCTCCCGTAAATTGACCGGCTCAGTGGCCTGGCTCCCTCTGTTGCTAGCAGGAGCACCGTCGAGACCAAGGCAGAACTTTTCCCTCGACAGACTTTGCACATCACGAGCAGACACTGGGCAAACTTTTTCCAGGATCGTTCGGTTCCCAGTACTGGATTTTAGCCGTGCGGTGATCTGAGGGGTGAGCAGTTTGTGTGCATCACTGTCATAGGCATTCTCACTTGTATTCCCACTATCAAGGATATCAAACATTGGCTTGTTCTCGATGCTGGCGTGTCCACTATCACACATAGAAGCTCTTTCGTCAAGCTTTGCATCTGGAGGCCGTAATCGACTCTCCCGTGAAAACCGCCTGTGAAGCCTTCCGCCAATGGAACCGAGTCGACTTCTGCCGTTCTTCGAATGCGCACGGGCGAGAGCACAGTCCGTTCCTTGTGGTGGAAGGCCTCGAGATTCGCCATCGTGAATAGGAGCATTGGCAGAGGAAAATATGGCATCTAACATCTGCTGCTCTTCCCCAGCAGGGTCAAGGGGAGTGTATGTTATGGGCTCGAAGGCAGGCGGCAGCGGCTGAGGGCATTCGGCCTGATCGCTAGAGCTGCCACGGGGCGATACTCTCTTCGGCTTCCTTCGCCATGGGCAGAATATCGAAACCATCCTGAAGTTATGGACGAGGTATGGCACAGAGAGCAGGAAGAAACAGAACGGGGGTAAAAAAGATTGCTTCAATCGAGGATCAAAGTACGAAAAGGAAAAAGGACAAAAGAACAATAACGCGTATAGATGCGAGACTACACGCTCGAGTTCGACCCGTGCATGGGAGTGCACAGAATGCTTCTGGGGCCCTGGAGCGAGGATACTCCTGGTGACATGGCTGGGGGGGACCTTTCTCTGGTACAGCCAGGAAAAGTGGGCAAGAAAGCTGAAGAAACATGGAAGGAGGGAGACACAGCGGTGCAACCACTTCCTTCTCGTCGGCCAAAAGCAGGGAGACGCTCTCCTGCTGTCCATATAATCCAGAGCGAGGATGGGTATAGTTGGCCGTCGCCCATGGATGCTGGCCCGTAGGCATGTGGTGTCCTGGGCCGGCGCGCCCTGACAGCGCTGGTACCTATCAGCCATCAGGCGCCAGCCACC